AAGCATTATAATTTAAAAAAGTTACTGTATCAAGTTTTGGCGGTTTTTAATACGACTTCCGTTACCACAATACGATAAACATGTAAAATTGAAATCGTAACCAATTAATCTGTATCTAAGCGGGGAAAGTGCGGATGGAATCTCACTAAACAAAACCAGATGGGTCATGTACAACGGAGATGAGTTTCACCTATTAAAACTACGATTAAACGAATGCCGACAACTAGACGTTTCCTGTTTACTTAATTAGAACCTGTGCCTTATTGTAATTATGCTGCTTAATCGGCAGTTAAATCTGGTTTTAGTGTAATTTTAATGTGTGTTCGGCTGTATGTAGTTCGGAGTTTAATGTTAATTTTGAAGTAATCTAAGTTTAAGTTTCGTTTGGTTTGTTAAGTTTAAGTTGATTAAGTTTTTGGGATGTGCGATGTTTGTTGTTTTAGGAATATTGTTATCAAGTGTTATGATTATTGACTAACGTTTTCTGAACCCATTCATATTATTATTTCAAAGTTTTATTTTTGCTTGTAAATATAAAAGCATCGTAACATGTACAGGGTACATACAATAGTATATTATTGTTGAATTGTAACTCATTACAAATCCATTGATAAATGACAAGAGATGATTTAACAGATTCATAACTTAATTTATTTTCTTGTAATTCTCAAGTTTTGAATGGAAATCTGAGATTTCAAAGTAACACCTAAAGAAATTTTGCACCAAATGTTCTACAGAATCGAACTGCCTAAAATTAAAGTTCGTTATAATTTTAATAAGTTTAAAGGACGATCGTTCAAACCCCTCCCTTCACTTTACAACTCGTTTCAATAATAATATATTTTTCACGAACACTTTCAGTCGACATTCTGAAAACAACTTTCTCTGAATAAGACAAAGTTTATTTTCCTTTACTCCAATTTAGGTGTCGATTGTATGGATGGAGTGTGAAGTAAAGCCTCCAGAGATTTGAAAGTATTGAATATTATCCAGTTCTAAATAATTAAAATACAAACAGATAGACACGGAAAACCTTTGTTTGTGATTAGTTAAAGTGTATAAGGTTTAAAACTGTATGTATTGTTTTCGTGAATTAATAGTAGGTACCTACAAATTTTAGAAAAAAAAACTGCATTACGTTACTTTGAACTAAATGAAAAAAGAAACATCTAAACACGTACCTACCACTCTATATAAATAACATTTCAATCGACTCGCAATACAGAATCGCTAACACGCAGAACTAGAGTAAACAGATTCGTCACAATCGATTACTGTAATCGATTGAATGAACGCCGTAGTAAATGTTCAATGAACTAATATCGAAGCGAATGCAGCTGTGAAATTGACCGTAGCATTCGCATTTAAATGTGAGGTCGCATTCGATTATTTTGTTTTATAAAATCGGCTTACTTAATACATTTATTTTTTATATTGAAGAAGATTAATTATAAAAATTATAGTCACGGAATGCAAAAAGCAGACGCTACATAACAACTTCAGACATTGATACTCAGCTAACTGTAGTTCAGATGCAATGACGATGTCAATCTAGCGGGCCAGGATATGGCTATACTTATGTTCAAAAGTACATAATTTGTACTTAGTGATGCTAACAGCATTGATGTGAACAAAAAGTTACGAGAATTTTCGTTTGCATAAATGCTGTTATTTTCACGCACATCACGCATTGTGTCTGATGTAAACTTACTCCAACAAATTGCTATCAACCTTGATACATCACTCTAAGGGTAAATCTTAAACAAAGTTTGACAGGCAGAGGATCTTCTGAAGATAGTTCTCAAACTAACTTGTAGGAAAATTCTGAAAGTGTTATTACGTCAGTAAGACGATAAAACGACCTTATAAACAGCCTTAATGAAACGATATTTAATAAATACTCAAGTAAAGGCCACAAAAGAAAAAAAACCTCGTTATAAAGTAGCAACAGTCCAAAATTGCTCGCATAATTTCTTAAAAAGCACCTCATTATTTTTGTCGGCGAGTGAAAAGGGGAAAATGAGAGAGCAAGCACTTTCCACGTTGAGTAAAAAGTATAGAGGATCTCATATATTATAATAATGTTAACATAAATTAAGGCGTTACTTTCAATAAGAATTCTGATGAAATACTTTGGAACAAACATATAATATTTAGCATGATTGCATTTTTGTTTGGGCTAAAATACTATCAATAGGATAATAATTATATTACTTTATATGCATTTATTTTAACACATTTAAATGCTCTTCAAATCCAAACATAACCTTTCGTCTGCCACAGACGGGTAGAACAAAATCTGAATACACACCTACAAGACAAAAACAAATACCATTCAGTAAACAAACTCAAAACTGGTTCATTCCTAAGCAAAGGTAAACGTAGATTCCTCAATTATTTGGTCCATTCGTTTTACCGGTCATTGTCAAGAACTTTTGGACTAAAGTTTATGCTATTGACTCAATGAAAAAAGATATAATCCTTATTTTATAAGAGTCAGGTTAAAGCAAAGCAAAGCCCACAATACACATAATAACGAAAACAAATACGTACTGGCCCACACTGTCTAATTCCAAAAACATTTTTAGCAAACCCATTCATTTCCTAAACAAAAAGCAGCCGTAAATGGCTCGATTATTTGGTCTGTTCGTTTTACCGGTCAATGTCAAGGACGCTCGGTCCAATGGCTGCGACTGCGCCGTTTACGCAACGCGCATGCGCGAAACGGAACCGTGCTATACCGTTGACGAGAGAACTAATAAATTAATGCGATTCGACGGCCATTAATACGGTATATGAATCCATTTGTTTACCTCGTTTTATGATTTTTTTTTGGAGATTCTTTCTTGTGTATCTTTTTAAGTTTGGCGGAATTTGGAAACTTTCACTTAAGTCTGTCTGTGCCAGCGATTATAACTTGATCGCTTGTTTTATTTTGTCTGATGACCATGAGCTATCCAGGTGAATATTTAGAGGTAGAATGAAGGCATTGCACGTTAACATTTTGATACCAAAGTAATCCCAAACCTATCATTCAATTTTCAAAAGGTAATACTAATAGCTTATTTAATATGTATAATCAAAACTTTTCCTTGATCACTGCATAACACAGTTCACAGTAACCATACTTCCGTCCGAGGGCGGCCACCTGACCGGCCCACATTACCGATTCGCTCTGAATACGGAGACAAGTTTGTCTACCATTATACCAACACTATGTTATTTCTTTCGACTATGTTCTTATTATTTTCTATTGGAAAACTATGATCAAGTTCAATGAGCAAAGTTTCCATTGTGTTTAATGTTTCGATATTATTGTTAGTATTGTCTGTTCTTGTATTATTATTGTCTGCATTAGTTTGAGCTTCATTTGTTTTTGTATTGTTGAACAAAGCTTCTATGTTGAGTACTTTCTTCTTTCGTTCATTAATTGTATCAATTTTACAATTAAGGATACCATTAATTAGTGATTCAATTAGACTTATTTTGGAAAATAGATGCTTTATTGTAAATGCAATGAATCCTTCTATGACTGACTGATGATTAATTAATTAATAATTACGATCATTACTGAGATAATAATATGTCGTGGTGGCCTGGAGTTTTAAGACGCCCGCTTCTCATGCACCCTCATGCATGCGGGTTCAAAATCTGCCAACGCCAAGTACCAATGTGACTTTTTCCGAGTTATATGTGCTTTCTAAGATTATCTAGACACCACTGGCAAACGGTGAAGGAAAACATCGTGAGGAAACCTGGGCTTATAATTTCTAATTATAAGTTTGTAATCGCCAACCCGCATTGAGCAAGCGTGATGATTAATGCTCAAATCTTCTCCGTGTGATAAGAGGATTTGCTCAGCAGTGGGCATTCATAGGCTGTTGATGAGGACTGAGATAATCTCCAATCAATTGATGTAGCTTGTGAAACAAAATGACTTATAGGACGACGAAGTGACTTACAATACCAAATAACAAATCTTTGGAATCTTACGTACCTAATAGAAACCAATTCCATATCTAGGTCATTAAACGAAAACCTTTTCAAAGCATGTCATCTAAAAGGAACCAAAGATGAGTAACATATAAGAGTATATGAGGAAATTTTAAATACATCCGGGTCTCACTCGTGTGTAACATTTATTTGATGTTGGCTTTTCTTTGATATCTGAAGATTTTTCAATTCATGTGAGTCGTAATGTTGAAATTGAGATAAGTCTAATGGATTTAGACGTGAATGTTTCTTGATGTTGTAAGGGGCCTTTTATGGGTCATATTTAAAAAGAGATATATAATGGACCTAGTCATAGAGGCCCTGGTTAATCAATTTGTCTACCCCTTTTCTCCCGTGAAGAAAATCAAAGTTTTCCAAAAAGCCACATTTTAGTACTAAAATCAGTAACTATACTCAAAACTAAAGTTACTATGTCGTAATTTACAATTTTATCGTATATGAACTTGACCCGTTAACGAAGTTCCATGAACTTTACTTAGAATCAGAACAAAACAACGGTAAGACTATCAAAGAGTTAGTTTGCTTAAATACATTACAACATTTAAGCTCTCTAATAGTAGCGGGATTTCTTCATTTCACGGCATCAACTTAACACTAATGATAAAGACTTGATATTGAGATGTGCCGAAGGTTTAACTGCAATCGTTAAACAGTTTCGATGTACGACCATAACCGTCATAATGAGTCAGGGCCAATAGGTCTCTGCATTTCGTATTATAATTCACCTATTTGTATTACCATATTTATAATGATAAATCGGTATCTCGCAATATGTTAAAGGAAGATCACTTCATACCAGTGTCCATAATACATCACATCCGGGGTGGATAATAATATGTAATTAAAATTTTGGAATATTCACTATTGATCTTTCATCTTCTTGTAGCAACATTGTAGACTTAATGAGAATCAGCGTAATCTGCCAGGTTCACATCCATGTCATTATAAAAAGCAATATAAAACATAATTATCATCAATTAACATACCGTTGTCTTCGAAGCACAAAACAGGGAACAGCAGTCAAAAAGTCAAGCAATGTTCCAAACACAACACAGTTCGCACACAAAAACGTTCCACAGATTTTTTCAAAAAAAAAGTTGTAAAAGTAAAGCGCACGTGCGCGGTAGTCGCGTGTTTGTTCGGACGCGGCGGTGCGCACGCGGCGGTGGGAGAGTGACAAGTGGATACTGCGCAGGTGCCAAGCCAACCTCCCTCTAACAAGGTCGCGTCCCCCTCTCTTCACACCCATTTCACCCGGAGAAAGTCTGCCTACATACATACCAAATTTTCGAACCGATTGAGCTGACTGAATTAACTTGGTACGGAGATGATGAATGAAATGTGTGGAAGGTCATCTTGTGGGATCGCTTTATCTCAGGACGTTTCATCTCTAATCAGTGCGTCAGTAGTTGTTACAACATTCATCTTGTCTGCCGAAGATGATGTCTTCAGAAACAATATTTCAATCTTTTTTGGTGCTGGGAGCTTATCAAAATTCACATCCCGTGAAGAGAAATTGTATTTTGATGCTAAAATATTATTTATTTGGACTTATTTGCGCGAAGTGATTGGCTTAATGAGCTTTGATTTATTAAGCAACGTATTTAGATGAGTTCGTAAAATATTTTGCATATAAAAATTGGATGCTTCTTGTTTTTTATTCAGAAAAAGGTGAGAGGTTTATTTGAACTTTTCTGAGCGTTTTGCTAAGTATCAGTTACTTAATAAACGAATCAAATGTTTCTAACAAACAGACCAATCGGAATCAATTAATTATTATTAATTTTATAAGTAATCTCAATTAATTACGGTGTATCATTTGAAATTTTCTCGTAATTTTATGGATGCTTAAGTTTGAAAATTCATTTACCTAATTATCGGTAAAGCCTTTTGATTCCTTGAACTTGCTAGTTGCAACTCGTATTGGGTTTATATTTATAGTTCAGGTTTGATTGTAGAATGTTATGCATGTGGGTCTACACGATTCTACATAATATGATTCCATTGCTCTAGGTTACGATGCACAACACAGACCTTGACAATTATATGTGTATATTTTTTTTTTATTTTTATAATATAAATGTCTTTCGTTTCAACTTGAGTCCAAGGTTATTTATTCTCTCTTTTATGGTGGAAAATCATCCAATGACGGCAAAAGGAGTGTCAGACCGTCACTGATCAAAAACCCCGTTTTTACTCCTGCTTCGAGTTTAAATTATCCAAAACGGAAACTAAAAATACGATTAATAAAATATTGACTGCATTTATACACAAATGAAAGTATTCAAACGAAGCAATACTTTTATTGATTTCTTCGTACGCATGTTTTTTCTGTAAAGATTTCAAAATTGTCTCATGGCTCTTTTATACTCACCAATGAGCCTATAATATGACGAACTCCAGCTTATCACTATCTACTAATGGTGGATTGCCTAACAGTCACTTAGTAATTCCGAGGTTTATTCTCACACAATTGTACCAACAAAACTATAATTATAACTAGATAATTGTATTGTGAACCTAATTGAACTTATAACCTATGGAGTTTCTCGCTCGTTCTTCTCCATAGGAATCTACACCTTGCCATGAGCAAAAAGCTTAACTTAAAAAAAAATTGTTGACGTTTATAAGCTGGTGTAATTGAAATAAACGATTTTGACTTTGACTTTGAATACTAGAGTTGTATATTACTCGTAAATCGGGATTAGGAACATGTGTAAAATATCTTCGGACATAAATTTCCATCGCGTCGGCTCCAACGATAAATATTAGCTCGTTCATAATTTCAACCGTAGCTAATATTTTGATGCATGCTATACATGTTGCTTGTTCGGATGTGCCATATGTTATCTTCTTGTTGTGGAAGGAATAGTATTATGTTTGTCTGGTTTAGACTGCCTCGTTGGCCTAGCAAGGGGTCTCGGGTTCGATTCCCGGGTCGGGCAAAGTATTATTGGGTTTTTAAAAAAAAATCTCAGTAGTAGCACGGAGTCTGGAAATGTGCCCGGTATATGGCAGTAGGCTCACCTCCTATTAGATGGGACTCATAACCTAAATAGTGAAAGGTGGGTGTTACATTATACAGTGGGGCATGATGTGCACCTCTGCTTACTCGTTCGGGGATAAAAGGCGTAATTTTATGTTACGTCTGGTTTATGATTGATTCATTTAAGGGTGACTTTAACCCTTATTCAAATATTGGGAAATTATTTCCCACTTGACAGTACCGAAAAAAAAAATCCATTTGATTAAGGGTTAAAGGGCAGTTATATTATTTTATTTTTTTTAATATTCAGTTTGATATCTGAAACGTGCTATTTCATTTATGGTAGGTATCTTTTTTTAATGAATTACAACGTAACTAGACATGAAGGGTGCTTTACCCGCAAGGGTAAAGTCGCCATTAGAAATCGTAGCCCCGGTTTAGACCGGGAGTTGGAACAGGGTGGTTTTTAGTCATGTCATCTTCTAATGTCATCCATCCAGGACAATAGAAGTCATTTGAAGTCATTTCCACCCCCAAAAAATTATATGCATATTGATGTAATTAAAATAATACGAATAAAACGAACCTATGCAAAATCAAACACGTATATCCTTATCCTTACTATATATATATAATATTATAAATTGGAAAGTGAGTTTGTTTGTTTGTTCCGCTTTCACGCCGTAACTACTAAACCGATTGCTTTGAATTTTTGCAGACGTAAAGTTAGAAGTCTGGTTTAAATAATAGGGTACTTTTTAGAACAAAAGTATTGGTATAGATGGCGCTATATGTATTGGTATATGTCACATAGGCTACGTTTTATCCTTTTGTGACGCGAGCGAAGCCACGGGTAAAAGCCAGTAGACAATATATCGACAGTAATCTACAGCGTTAACCATGTAATGATTGAGAGATTGAAACAACATTATCTGTTGTCTCGTCACAATGACGCAAGTTGTATAGAACAGAAGACGATCGGTCACGGTGACATGATACATTGCAACGATTTGTGTTCAATCTTATAGTGGTAGCTAACTGCTTTTGAATATGGCAATTTTTTTATTTTTGTTTGTTTGTTACGACTGTGATTTTAATAAAAGTATTTTGAAATATTATATACATAAGACCCTATAAATGCTGAAACAGTGTTTCAACTCTTTCAGTCTTATAGAGGTAGTATTCACTGTAGTTAACCACGTTTTCTTGGAAATTCAATTTTTAAGTAGGTATGCTTAATATTTTTTCTTTGTTTTTAAGCATTTCAGTATAATTAAATAAAATTAATCGTAACCAGTTAAAAGTGTGACTGAAAGAGTTTAGTAAGCAACAAAATTATATATTAATCTTTATTAGGTTATTATGAAAGTCTAGATTACATTGTTATTATAAGTTATATGTATGCGTGTTTGTTCCCATGCTTTATTAACTCTTTTCTAGTTACAAAACATGGGTTCATTAATATCAAATTTCTATTTTAGAAACTCTTCATTGTTGGCTAGCTGTTGACTGCAACTTCGGCCGCGTAGATTAAGTTTTAATATTAATAATTTTCTAAAAGTAACCTGTGTTAGGTACTCCTTGGTACATCAGGTACCTGCCAATAAAAGTCTTGTGAAATTGGTCCAGCCATTCCAGAGATAACCCAATACAAATAGACAGACAAATATACTAAAATTGTAAATATTATTTTTAAGTGTGTATCGTACCTATGTAAGTATATTCATATGCATGTAATAAAAATCTGTTATTTTAATATTACAAACAGACACTCCAGTTGTATTTGGGTATCTATGTAAATATTAAAAAAAAACAAAAGAAAGCTATTGTTTTTTAAATGATTTATCGTCTATTGAATTTGCCAAAGCGATGTTCGAAAGTATCTTTTAACAATTTAATATTAACAAATTGTGTAAACAACATTAAAATGTAATGCTATGTAAACAAGTTATAAATTACAATAAATTATTTTTTAAGAGAAAATGTAGTATGCATGTAAATTTCTATTAAAATTTGAGCGCGATGCGTTTTTTTTTTGTTCATTTCATAAGTATTTTGGCTATTTGGTTGACATTATGCAGGAATGTGACACAAAACTGAACAATACATATTATTAGACGTTGATTTATCTGAAGATTTGATTTCGATTGTTCTCTTCAAGTATGTACAACGTGTTTTCACTTTCTTTTCTCTATATATCATGCTATATCTAGTGGAAAAGAAAAAGTTTTTAAATGATGTGTTAACTATCTGAGACATGTTACTAGGTCTGGCTGGAGGAGAATGCCCATGACATTAAGTCCACCTTGTACATTAGTATGTGCATGAAGCCTTTTAAAATATGAAAAAAAAACATGTTTTAAAAGTGTCGTTAAAGACTTTTAAGTCTGTATTTATTGAAGCGAACATAATCAGATAGATATCCTTTGATATATTACTTATATCTAATTACTTATATCTAATAAATATTATGTATTTATTTATGTATGTATATTGCACTCGTGTCTTATGTATATCTCGGAAATATACAAGTTTATCTTCGTTCACTGCTTGCCTCTTGCACCTACCATTTCTTTTTATAGCATAAGCCGGTAAACGAGCAGACGGATCACCGGTAAGCAGTTGGCGCCGCCCATAGACACCCGAAACACCAAGGCGTTACAAGTGCGTTACCGGCCTTTTGAGAATTGTGAATTTGAGGATTGTAGAGGATTCGGGGATTCGGGAGACTAGGGAGGGGGTAATTCGGCCTCCATTAACTTCACTCACACGACGAAACATAACGCAAGCGTTGTTTCACGTCGGTTTTCTGTGAGGCCGTGGTATCACGAGCCGGCCCATTCGTGCCGAAGCGTGGCTCTCCCACAATTAACTCTTCTCTGCATCACCCAAAGGTCAGACTGGTAGAAAATACCTGCGGCATTAAGTCCACCTAGTGTACAAAAAAAATTTGGCGTGAATTACCCCTAAAATTTAGGGAGATGAAAAATAGATGTTGACCGATACTCATAGATACCGGATAAGCACAAAAAATTTCATCAAAATCGGTCAAGCCCTTTCGGAGCAGTATGGCAACGAAAACTGTGACACGAGAATTTTATATATGAGAAGATATATTTTAAGGAAAAAAAATCACATTTGTAACGCTCCTTTATACCTGCCTAGTTATACAAATAAACCATTTTCGTGT